CTGCATATAGACATGAGTTTTGAATCTTAAAGACTCCTGAACACCCCTGAGGAAATGGGGGCTTCTGGAGGATAATTATGAAATGATCTGCCCAAGCTCACACACTAGTCACTGTTAGTCCCCATCACAGGGACAACCCTGGCCCCTCTGCACCCCCAGCCTACCCCCAGCAGCCCAGCATGAGGGCTGCCCAGCATTCCAGCATTCTGTACTGGAATTCCAGACCCCTCCACAACTTCCAAACCCGGCTCAAAGCACAGCCTGTTCCTCTGTCGGCAGATCCGGCATGATGAAGTGAGACTCAGCAAGCGGCCAGACCCAGAGCATCCACGGGATCTGCTTTTGGCTGCAGGCCCTTTACTTTCAGTGAAGTCTGACACCTGTCCCCATGGCAGGCCCCTTTCTTTCCTGGCCTGTCCCCAGCGAGGTCCCCGGCTGCCTCTGGGGAGTGACCAGCTGCAGAAGGCCTTGCTCATTTTTGGTTGGAGTGTTGGCTCTGGGCTGATGCTGCCTGGTGGCCCTCAGCAGGTGGCTGCCCTCTCTGGCTGAGTCACCAGCACAAGGGCAGGGCCTCTCCCCTGGGGCTGCCTACTATGGATGGCCCCAGGCCTCTCCCTGCCCACCCCCAAGGTGTCCCTCCTTCGCTGCCACTCTCCCTCGTTCTCATGTCATGTCCTGTCCCCTTGGAGAAGCAGGAGCCACCCTCCATCGTTGTAAGTCAGGCTCGCATGCAGCTACTCAGCACTTGAGATGCAACTGGTCCGAACTGAGAAGGACTTTACGTGTAACTTCCACACCAGCTTTGTTTTTCACTGAGATGTTGACATGTAACATATATTAGTTTCAGGTGTATGACAAAAATGATTCGATATTTGGATATACTGTGAAATGATCACCATGGTGATTCTAGATAGCATCTGTCACCACAGAGTGACACATTTTTTTCTTGTGATAAGAACTTTGAAGATCTACTCTCTTGGTAACTCTCAAATATACAACGTGGCATTGTTAACTCCAGTCACCAGGCTGTACATGGTATCCCCAAGACTCACTTATCTTACAACTGGAAGTTTGTGCCTTTGGCCCACTCCACCCATTTCACCCACCCCACCCCACCTGCCTCTGGCAGCCACCAATCTGTTCCCTGTATCCCTGAGTCCCTATTTTTTTTTAAGACTTCACATAAAAGTGAGATTATGGAGTATTTACTTATCTTTCTCTGATTCATTGCATTTAGCATAACGCCCTCAAGGTCCATCCATGTTGTCACAAATGGGGAGATTGCCTTATTTTTTTATGGCTGAGTAATATTCTATTACATATATATGCCATATTTCCTTTATGCATTCATCCATTGATGTATGCTTCAGCTGCTACCACATCTTGGCTATTGTAAATAGTGCTGCAATGAGCATGGGGGTGCAGATGTCTTTTCAAATTAGTGATTTTGTTTCCTCCAGGTAATTCCCCAGAAGTGGGATTGCTGGATCATATAGTAGTTCTACATACCTTTTTTAAGAGTACAAAAAAGAAGGTAAAATTTATCAATAATTTATATCAATTACATGTTCAAATGAAAATATTTTGGGTATACCAGGTTAAATATAGCACATTATTAAAATTAATTCTACTTATTTTTTTCCTTTTATTTAAAATCAGAGGAAGGGCAGATTCCTTCACCTACAGAGTCTTTACTCGAACCTATGCTAGCCAACGAGCATTCATCTCCTCCCCGAAGCTCATTTGGATCCATGTGAGAAATTCATGCTCCCCCTAGTAGTGTAACCTTGACCTTTTTTTCTATGAGACTGGCTGGAGGCCAGTAGACTTACACAGAGGGGTAAATGAGTGACAGCAGAGGCTCCCAAGCACTGGGAGGGAGCATAGCAGGGGTCCCACATCTGACTGACACCAAGCTCTTCCCAGGCTTGCCTAGCAGCCCATGCTTGTCTCTTTATCTGGTCCAAGGTCCCATGCAGACTGCACATCCTGCACCCAACAAATAAAAGGACTACGTAGGAAGCCCTGCAGGGATGGAAGCTGAGACCAAGGAACCTCACCAACAAAGGACCAGTGCCCAGCCCTCCAGGACAGCTCTGGGGGGCCAGCCAGGAGGCAGGGGAGGGGCAGAGCTGTTGAGCTGGGTCATGTAGGGCCTTGAAGGCCATACTCATAGGTCTGGACTTTATCTGGAGGGCAACTAAGGCTTTCTGAGCAAAGCAATCACATGTCCAGAGCTATGTGGAGGCTGTCCTCTCTGTATCTGGAGGAGCAGGACAGAGATAGGCTCACCTGGATGTGCAGCAGCAAGTGAGCAGGTGAGGCTTGTCAGTAACAATGGTGAAGCCAAGCTCACCCAGCATGCAGTGCACCAGGCAGCCTCTGTGGGTACTTCTACATTTATGACTTATTTTGTCTGTGCTACACAGGGAGGTGAGCACAGGGCAGCTGCGGACTGCTGGTTTCTTGAACGTACCAGTGAATGAATGAACGTTGGTTCATCACTGTGACCCCCAGGTTATATTATGTATTGGATGCATTGGGCTAAATTGCACTGGATAATCTGTTTAGGGAGTCTGATTCTGAACTGAAGCCCTCTTTTGAGGTGTACAGAGAGCCTTGCTGGATACAAGTTACTAGAGCTGCGGCAATGAGCATGGGATGCTAAGAAGGGGGACACAGGGCCCTGGTCCTGTGGGGACAGTCTGGTCCAGTGGCCTCAAGTCTATCCCTGCAAGCGCCCCTCCATACCTCTCCTAGATCCCCCTCAGCAAGCCCTCTTCTGCTGGCTCCAGCCTTTCCCCCGGTCCTGGAATTAATAAAGACTCGGAGCAGACTGCGGTTTGCAAGTCTGAAAGCCGGTTCCTGCCCACGTCACTGCCCCAAGAGGAGCGGGGCCCAGCTCCTCCCCAGCACCCCCTCCCTACTCCCTTCCTGGGCAGGCACATAGATGCGATCTCTCCCTACAGCAGGCACTGAACCTCAGATCCTGACCCTGAACAGCCTCTACCCCACCAACAAAGGCCAGTCTGGGTTTATAATCTCCATCAGCCATCCCAAAGTGCCCCAAATAACACACACTGGAAATAAAAGATGCTATATAAGCACAGCTTCAAGCCCTTTCTCCTAGCATGTCCACCCTCTTCCAAACTCTGGAGCAGCTGCCACCTAGGACCAGGGAGAGGGAGGGATAACCTGGGACCCCAAGGTGGCCCAGCATAGAGACAAGCCTGACAGTTACACTAAAATCAGGAGTGGTGCCCACAGAGCTGGCGACAGTATGGTAGCACTAGGGTCAGTACAAGCCCAGATAGGTACAGAACATTTTGGATCTGGGAGGATCGGTACAGAAATATATGACCACATTTTATTTACCTTTGCAATAACCTTCCTGGACAGGGATTTTATCACTATTTGAAGCTCTCTGAAGAGGTTACACCCCTAGAAAGTGCTAGACCCAGAGTTTAGTCCTAGACGCACCTAAGCCCAATGCCTGGCCTTTAGCATCTCCACTCCTGGCTGCGCCTGCTGGCCCTCCACATGGCATGGCACTCCTGGCTGCAGGAGGGGTCACGTAGCTCCCTTCCTTACAGTGGCACTACTGCCTCCCCTGATTCTCCACCTGCTAGCTTGGGGGCAGGGCTCACAAAGCTCATGGCCCCAACTTTTCCCTCACTGGCTTGGATGAGAGCCATCACCTGTTTCCCTCCCCTGTCCTCTGGCTCCCAAATTTCTTCCCCCTTGTGGGAGTTGGGGAGGCATGACCCTGTCCTACCCTACCTCACCTCCCAGAAATCCCCAGGGTCCTCGTCCTTCTCAGCCTGCCTGGGACCTCCGAGTCCTTCTGGAAAGGCTGCTCCAGAAGTTTCAGCTCGGGCTGCCCCCTGCTGGCCACCACAGGAATGTCGGCCCCAGGCGTTCTCCTGGGGCAGGGAGAGAACCAGCAGTCTGGGGGCCCCCAAGTCTGGTCTGGGTGCTACCAGTGCTCTGTGTCGGAACAGGGGACCGAATGATAAAGAGGCGCTGGGCCACCTATCAGTCTGGGTGGGGTCCGCAGGCCCCTGGGAGTCCAGGCCGAACTTCACCATACACTGTGGGCTGCACAGGCCTACCTGTGGGACTGCGACCTTCATCCATGACGGATGGGATCGCTGTGGTGTGTCATCAGTCTCCCACGTGTCCCCCAGATGCCCCAGAGAACTACACCAACACGGTCTTAACTCAGGCCATTCCTCTGGTGCTGCCCCTCTGCCTCTGCAGACATGGATCCCAGACCTGCCCAACTCCCCTCCCCAGCTGCAGGCAGGAGACTGTGACCTTAGCTCAGGAAGCATGGAGCCCCCTGACCCTAGGTCAGTGTCCCCCTTCCTTCCCCCATTTGCCCCACGGGGCAACGCCAACAAGATCTCACCTTCCAGGCCATTCTCCCCGCAGCACCTCAACCTCTGTAGACACTGGCCCCAGGCCCCAGACCCCAGGCCCCAGACCTGTCCAACACTCTGCCTCACCAGCTTTGGGCAGGGAACATCTCTAGCGAGGCCTGGGGGTGCTGGAGGAGACTGCAGGGCTGGGTGGGGGAAAAAGCGTGGGACAGCTGGCCTGTGTCCCCTTGCTGGGCCCAGGGCCCAGCCGGAGGGGCGGGGGCCTGGCCACTCAGGCCTTGGCTGGGGCTGGATTTTTGGCTGGGCTGCAGGGCCCTCCCTCCTGCTTCCTCTCCCGAGGGCTGTCCTGGCAGAGGCCCCCCTTGCACTTTCTGGTGGGAACAGGGCCAGCAGGGAGAGAACAGGCACAGAGGGAAAGCCGGAGAGATGGGGAAACATGTGTGTGCGTGTGTGCTTGTGCGCACATGAGTGTGTGTTTTAAGGAAAAAGGCCCACAGTCCAGTCCCATCGGCCCCAGCCTGGGAGGCTTGCGAGCTGGCCTTTCGTAATTGCCCCCTCCCCGCAGCCCCCTCCTCCGGCACCCCCCCTCCTCCGCCCAACCGCCCGCCCTCCCTCCCTCCCTCCTTCCCTTGCAGTCGCCGAAGCAGCAATTACGCTTTGGGGATAAAACGAGGCGCGGAGAGCGGGCTGGGGCATTTCTCCCCGAGATGGCGGGTCTGACAGCTGCAGCCCTGCGGCCCGGAGTCCTCCTGCTCCTGCTGTCCGTTGTCCGTCCCTCGCAGCCTGGAGGTAGGCCTCAGCCCCTTCCGGACTTGCCCACAGCCCCCCAGCCTCTCAGCCAGGTGGCTGGACTGCTGGGAGAGAGCGCACCCCCCAGCCCCATACCCTGCGCTGTCCAAGGGTCCCAGGCAGGAGCCCCTCAGCCACTGGATCCTTGGAACCACCCCTCCCTGGAGCCAGCCCGTGCTGAGGAGGAACCTGTCAGATGCCTCACGACTCAGGAAAGTCCCAACCCAGAGGCCAGGTCCCGCTGCCCTGAGAGGGCCAATGGGCCCCTGCTCTGTCCTGCGTGCCCTCCCAGTGGGGGTCGGGGGCACGCTGGATAAGGGTTGGTGGGGTCCCAATGGGTCTGTGGGCATTGGCACTTTGCACACCTGTGGACCCAGCGGGTGTGCACACGTGCCCTGGGGGCAGGGGACCTGGGTTGGAGTCCAGCTCAGCTGCAATGTGCAAGGTACCTTGTCTCCTAGGAAGTCAGGACACCCCTCTGAGGAAAGTCAGGGTTAAGTTGGTTCCTGGGTTACAGGTTGGAAAACTGCTGCTGTGGTCTGTCCCTGGTAAGGAAAGCCGGGACTTCTGTGAGTGTGTGTGTGTACATGCATGCATACATGAATAATATCACATGATATTGCACAGGTATGCACATGTATATACATCCAAATATGTCACCAAATGGTGGAGGATGGCTATTCACAGGTTCATCCTTGGACAGGTATGCATGTGCATGTCCACATGTGCTTGTGCGTGTTGGGGGTTTGTAGGGTAAGTGAAAGTGCCTGTAGCCCATGCAAAAGCCCACCACCCAAAAGGCATATACACGAGGGAGATCTGGTGCCCGGATGTGTATCACTGGGTGTTGACTGTCACAGTACATGTCACTGTGAGTGTGATTGTGTGTGTGGTATGGAACACGAGTTAGGACAGGGAAGCTGGGGGGATGTCCACCTCCTGGCAGAGGGAGTGTGACCAATGGTAGAGGCTGGAGTGGACGTCAGGACAGTTCTGGACCATCTGGTATATGTGCCCTGCCACAGACCCCAAGGGTACCCCTGGCCATGGGGAGAGAGGAGCCCGCTCCTGAGCCATAGGGAAGGGGGCCTGGGTGGGGTCTGTTCTCTGTGGGAGTCCTTCCTGCCATTAGAACCAGACCTTCAGCAGAGGCCAGTGTTGGGGGAGCATAGGGTGGGGCAGGGCCAGGCTGCAGGCTGGAGTAAGGGCTGGGCAGGAGCAGCAGCTGTTTCCGTGAGATTGATGGGCTGGGCAGGTCTGCTGGGTGCAGGGGCTTCCTGGCCAGAGGTCAGCTCCTGGGCTCCGGTGAGGCCGAAGGACATGCATACCATCACGTGGGGCCCAGGAGGGGATTAAGACAACCCCAAAGGAGCCGCTATCCCAGTGCCCAAGAGCAGCAGCTCTGGGCCTGCCTGAACTGCCTCCTACCTCCCCAAGGTGCGGCCTGAACATCCACCTTCCCAGAGAGAGCTGCCACCTGGAGCAGAGCAGTTAATCCCCACAAAAACCCTGAGAATTGAGCACAATTACCTTCACTTTACAAGTGGGGAATCTGAGGGTCAGACAGGCTGAGGCAGCCCACTGCCCTGGGCCAAAGAGTGAGGGGGTAGGGTCTGGTACCAGGCAACATTTGGAGAGGCACAGGCCTGGAATTCTTGGGTGGGACCCTGGCATCTAGGGTGGACATACCCTAGAGCAGAACATGCCATCCCTTTACATCCTCAGTGATACCACTAAATGCTCGGCTGGCCTTGTTCTTTCTGTACAAACACAAATATCAGCTCTGTCCCAGGTGGTAGAATAGCTAGGTCCAAATAAGGGGTGTGTGAATTGGTGAGGTCTTCTGGGGTTTGTGCCCAGGGCCCGTAGAATATCAAAGGGGTTGGGGAGTGGGAAGGGCTGCAGACACAGGTTCACACTCACACAGGTACACACACAGCCACCTGCCTGGCTGTCCTGGGGGATCCCAGCTTCCCCCACCCACCAAGAGGATATCACCCCATGTGTTCCCCAGCTCAAAAGAACCATGCTGCCAGTGGAGGTAAGAAAGGAGCTTCCCGGGAAGACTGATGGAAAGAATTGTCTAGACCCATTTAGGATGGGTCAAGAACAGCTTTGAGGACCAGCTTCCTGAAACCCCTGTGCCATTTAAAAAGAGAGAGAAATTAACTCAGGCGTAATTCTCTCCACATCCTCTAGAAATAGTATCAGCAGTTTTTTGTTTTTTCTTTCTGATTTCGGAACTAAAGATGACTTGGAACAAGGATTATTAACCCTGGCTGCCTATTGGAGTTTTAAACATATAGAGATCTTTAAACAATTCTGAAGCCAGGGTCCCACCCAAGAATTCCTGCTTTATTTGGTCTGGGGAGAGACCTGGACTCGGAGGTTTCGTAAAACCTGCTCAAATGACTTTTATGAGCCTTCAGCGCCAAGGACCTCTGGTTTAGGGGTTGCTCCTGCCTCTGTGTCTGCTGGGGCTAAGGCAGGACAACAAACGTGCCCAGGGGAGGGAAGGGACAGAGGCACCCACTGGAGAACAGATTGTTTTTGAAAAACCCTTGGCAGCCTCTCTCCATGCAAACAACAAACAGCTTCGCATGGTCTTATCTGCTCCCAGGCCATTCCCCTGGACTTTGGCTTGGCAGAGACCCTTGCCAAGGCCTGCTGGCCCACTGCTTGCTCCTAATCAGCCTCCTCCCAGATCTTTGAACCTGGAGGCAGGGCCTGTGTATGACAGGTCAGCTGTGGGTCCTGGCCAGGCTTTTCATCTCACAGGCTCTTGGTTTCCTTGGCTATAATATGGGAGAAGCATCCTTGCCCCACTCATCTCCTAAGGCCGGCGGGAAGTTCCAGCAATGTAACATCTCAAAAACTTCATCAAATAAGAGGATCGTGGGAATGTGAATTTTTTAATAACATATATTTTGATTCAGAATTTCTAACTTGGGCTGACCGCCCCATACAATCTGTGCACATCTGTCAGGTTTAGTTTTCCCTGTTGCTATCCATGCCGTGTTTTGTCTAGTGGGGAGCAGCACACAGTGGTAGAGGTAGCAGACAGGACTGGGGAGGGGGAAGCCCAGAGGAGTCCCAGGAAATCCAGGAAGGCTTCACAACAGATGTGACATTTGAGTTAGGCTGTGAAAGAAAGGCCAGTGTTTGGGAATCGTCCATGAATCAGAGATGAGCCTTAGTCTGTGGGGCTCTGGGAGGCAGAATGGGAGAGACAGAGGAGCAGATTGTATCGCGACAGGAAGACCTCTCTGTAATAGAGCTGGCAGTGTGGGGAGGTGGGGATTTTCCTGTCATGGGAGGCGTGCAAGCAGGAGCACAAGGGGCGGTTTGCGGGAGTTTCAGCCAAGGCCAGAAGACTGTTATGATCCCTAAGAGTCTAGGATCATGATTCTCAGATGTAAGAGGCAAGTTCCACCCTGGGCTAGCCAGCAAAACAAGCCAAACCCACATAAAACAAGACAGGCATGCTCCGGGCCAACTGTTTTGGGCCAGCTAAGCGGTCACAGCCACAGGCTTAGAGAAGGCAGGAGGGAGAATCTGAGCTCAGTCTTGGTAGAAGGGTGGGAGTTGGATGGAGGAGAGGGCATTCCTGGCAGCAGGAATGGCTCAGACCAAGGAGTGCAGGTTGAGAAGGAAGGCGAGCTGCAGCGTGAGAGGAGGCTGCTGCCTTTGTGGAGGCCCTTAACCAACAACTGTCTTATTCTGTTCTCACCTCTGCTGCACTTGAGAAAAGAGGCAGGGCAGAGGCCCTTTACACCTACTAAGCCTTCTCCATTTCCTCAGTGCCAAGTAAGGATCAAAATCCAGAGCTCCCCAGCTGTCATGGTTCAACCACAGAGTTTGGCAAACATTGCTGGGATCTGAATCATGGGGGTAGAGAGTGGGGAGAGGAGAGAGCTGAGGAGACATGAGCGGGCGCTGAGGAGAGGGGAAGCAGAGGAGGAGGAGCTGGCAGGCCCAGGAGGGGCCTGGCCACAGACGGGCTGTCAGGCTGTCGGGGAGCAGAACTCCCGGGAAGGAAGTGGGGGTCAGCCAGGCCCGAGCACTAGACCAGCCCAATGTGTGCTGGGGATGGAACAGGTTGGACCCAGACCCACAGGCAGCATCCTTGCCTCCCCTCCATCTAATTCACCCATCATTCATTGAATGCCTACCATATTCCTGGCCCCAGGCTATGTACTATGCAGCAAAGTGGAGACACAGAGTCGCCATCTTTTCTTATTTTGGCAATTACCCTGTGCCAGGTCCAGGGCAGGACAAGGTCTCTTCCTTGATCCTTTGACAACTCACAACAACCTTGCAAGGCAGCAGTTATCAGCCCCACATTGCTAAAAATGAAAACAGGGTTCTGAGAGGTTAAGTGACTTGCCCAAGGTCACACAGACTGTAAGAAGTTGCATGGCCAAGAGGAGAGGCTCTATACGTCTGTCCTGAGCCCATTTGCTCCCTCTACCCCCCACCCTGCTCCTGTAGTCTGCTCTGGGGCCAGAAAGCAGAGAGGTGGGGAGAGGGCACCATCAGGAAGGAGAGAGGCTGAGGCAGAGAAAGGCCTGGAGCACAACCGGGAAAGACACATAAGAGGCAGTGCTGAAAGCAGGAGCCCGGAGCCAAGGAAGGCATCAAAGGCCCAAGGCAGACCATGTGTGTGTTTGGCAGCCGATGACAGGGCCAGAGTGCTCATTCCCAGCAGGCCCGGCCTCCTGGGGCTGCCTCTCTGAGCCCTTAAGGCTCTAACCAGATCTTTTTTTTTGGCACACTCCAGGCCTGGACTACAGTTCCTGGGGGGCCATCAGCCCTGGGGGTATGGGTGGCGCCAAGGCTTTGGCACAGGGTGGGCGCGACAGCTTGGCATCCCTCACCTTGATGGGCTGACAGGGCGCTGGGGCTGGCAGGCCCATCTGTACATCATGGCCAGGCCACATCTCGCTGGGAGGCCTCTGGACACACTACAGACTGCCCAACACTGGCCACTAGCCCCATCCATGCCCCTTTCAGAGGGCGGGGCTGGGGCTGGGGCCCTGGCAGCTTGTCAGGGTTGGCACCATTCTGTGATGGTGCAGTCAGGGCCTGGGCTGCCGCAGGATTGTCTGTTGCCATGGCCACGCTCAGCCTGGGTCTGGGGCTCAGTCCCACAGAGTCCCCCAGTGAGAGCTTCACTGGCCTATGGGGAGTGAACTCGTGATCTTGGCGGGCAGACGGCCCCTGGCCTGGCCAGTGAATTAGCTTTTCCTTAGGAAACTATTCACTTTGCTCATTCATGGTGTCCCCCTCTGGGCCCCGGCGCCTCCTAAGACAGCCCCATGTCAGACAGCCAGAACCCCACCCAACCCTTGCTTCCCAGTGGCTGAGGATGCTGACCTCACACTATCCTATCAGTGTGGGAATGGCTGCGTTTTTTGCTGGCAGCCGCAGCATTTCCTTACTGCTCACTGTGGCAGTTCGGCCTGCTGCCCCACAACTCTGGCCCCTGCCTGTGCTGCTCAAGGCTGGAGAGAGGTGGCTGCCAGTTAAAGGCACTCAGTCCCTGCCCCATGCCAGGCCCTCTCCAGGGGAGAGGAGAAACAGGTAACACAGAGGAGTGGCCTGCTTTGAATCCAGGCTCCGTCTCTTTCCAACTGTGTGTCCTCAGGCATGTCTCTTAACCTCTCTGAGCCTGAGTTCACATCTGTTAAAATGAATATAGTAATCCATGCCCTTCCAAACTCAAAGGGCCATTCTGAGGAGCATGAAAGGGAAGACGGTTTGTAAACACAAAGTGCTTTGGGAATAGACCGCTGTGTAGATGTATAGTATCGTCATTATCATCGTTAGCAGGCTCTTACTAATTCTAGATAAAGGAGGACTCTTTCTGCTTCCTTCCAGGGGTCCCGGGGGCTGTTCCTGGTGGCGTTCCTGGAGGAGTCTACTACCCAGGTGATGACCTCAGACTTCCACATGCAGGGAAGGCACCCTGTTCTGGGCTCCTCCCGCCACAGCTGCTAGGAGGATGAATGTGCTGTCTGTCGTGTGATATGATAGAGTGTTTTCCAAGTAAAGGCAACATGAAAGCAATACCTATGTACAGAGGGAGACTGGAAGCCCTGCAAAAGGAAATGGGCAGAGTGTTGGAGCATGGCATCAGGAAGGCAAATTTTTAATTCAGACAAAGAAGCATAATACTGTAAAGCAGATTGAAAACACTTCCTAATACTTACGTATTTCCAAGTATTAGAAAGTATTTGAATGTTCAGCACTAACATGGAAATGAGGGTAGCCATCAGCATGCTCCCAGATACAGACTGGTACAGGGCTGCTGGCCTGACTAGGAAACTGAATCTCACAGACATTAAGGCTTGCCTAAGGTCACGGAGATAGGCAGTGACAGACTGGACCATGGGTCAACGGGTGGCCTTCTGCTGGGGCACTGACAGCTCACTCCTTCTCTCTCTCTCTCTCTCAACACAGGGGCTGGTCTTGGAGGCCTGGGAGGAGGAGGTAAGCTCGGAAACCAAACTTGGTTTCTCCTGATAGGTCTGGGTGGTCACTCTGGTTCACACAGATCCTCAGACCTCAGGACCCCAGAAGGCCCAGGCATCAAGGGGCCCTTATTTTAAGACTGAGGGTCCAGTGGGAAAAGACTTATCTGAAAACTGGAACTCACGGGCCTCCCTCCCTGCTCCCTCTGGCCTCTTTCCCTGGTGACCCTGCCTTCTTTCATATTCCTTTTGATTCTCTACTACATCCCTGCAAAGCTGAGCTGGTATCATCATCCCCTTCAGAGGCTGAGAAACTAAGTCTGAGAGAATATTAACCACAAATCAGGACCAGAGCTAGGCCCTCAACCCTGGTGGCTAGACACTGGGCTCCAAGAGGCTCCTTGGCCCAGGGAGGACCGTCCCTGATAGCCCTCAGGGCCTGGGGAGTGAGACCATACAATGCCCTGGGGGGATAAGTAGTAGGACAGGTGGGCTGAGGCTCCCCACTCACTACCATCTCTTCTCTCTGCAGCATTGGGGCCTGGAGGCAAACCACCCAAGCCAGGTAAGACCTGAGGTCTCTGGGGCTGGGGACAGGGGAGGGGAGGGCCCACAGAGCTGTGAACCCAGCAAGGGAGCCAACAGGCAGGAGGAAGTGGGGAGGTGCTGAGCAGGCCCCCAGGTGTGAGCAGGCTGGGGCTGGGCCCCAGGGCTTCCAGGGACAGAGGCTGGATGCAGCTTGATGTCCTCCCTGTGTGAGGTGTCTGTCCACTGTCTACCCTGCAGTGCCTCTGTGCACAGCTGTCTGAGAGTTTGCTCTGCATAGCATCCAGAAACAGCCTTGGTGCTGGGGGCAAAGGTAGTGACTGATGTTCTGGTGGCCACTCAGCCTGTGAACATCACTCTGGGGCTCTGATACAGATGGTGGGCCCCAGACTCCAGACGAAGCCCTCTCTAATCCAAGACCAAGACCTGGGATATCCTGACCTCGATGACCAACTGAGCCCTTAATCTGACCCCAGGCTGAACCCTGACCCCCGACCAAGCCCTGAACTGATGCTAGGCTCCTCCCAGCTGTGTCCAAACCAGGGAGGTTTCCAGTAAGAAGATGTGACTAGATCTGTCCTGGCCTCACCCTTAGGGCAACAGGTCTGCCAGTAGGGGATCCACCATCAGCTCCAAAGAATATACCCCCAGGAAAGGGGGAGGGCAGATCTCTCCCAGAGGCACTGGTGGAGAAAGAGCAGGTGGAGGAAATGGCGTCTCTGTCCAGATTTATGGCCCCATCGGCATGAGATGCTCCACATGTGACCTTGACACCCCCCCACCCTGCTCTGTGTCTCTCTGACTCTGAGGTTCCAGACTCCAGGACAGTTTGAATGTCCAACAGCTCTTATGAAATCCTGATGTTTGATGATCCAAGTGCAAATGAATCTACAAGACCCAGATTCTTCTTCTCCGCAAACGAATCTGGGTTGTGAAACTCCAGGGCCAGGGCCAGGGAAGAGAGATAGGAGGGTAGGACAAGAGGCCTGGGCAAGGGGCTTCCTGGAGTCTGCAGGGGTCTGCAAGGCTGGAGCCCTTGTCATTCACTGCTCAGCCTGCCAGACCTGCACTCTGTCTTCCTGGAGAAGTGAGCAATCTTACCCAGGTCTTTGATGGTGGGCAGAGGGCAAGGAAGGCCCAGATAAGCAAAGGGGTGGATGAAGGACTGTGCTTAATGGAGAAAACCCCAAATCCTGGAGGTTGGGACTGCAAAACTGAAGCGCAGATTGGTCGATCCCACTGGCAGCAGGGGACACATGGTAGACTGTTATGAAACACCAGTGGGGAGACTGAGACAGCTGTATAGAGGGTCCCTTAATGAGGGTTGCTAAAGGGAGGCTTTTATTCATTAAAGATTTATTTTAGACTTCTGAAAAGACTTCCAGCTCAGGGTAAAGGAGGCCAAAAGGGAAGTCAGGGCAACTCCTGCTGATGGAAAGGGGCTGGATTCCAGGACCCCTTCCATGCACTTTCAGCCTCAGGACCCTGAACTATAAAGAATTGGGCAGGGCCAATGCCCCACCCCCACCTCCACAGGCAGTTTCCCATATCCACGCAGTGGAGATGTCCAGGCCTGCCTGGGCAGGATGGAGTGGGGCACAGCAGTGTGCACTGTACTTGGGAACAATTAATCCCTTGGTGAGTAGAAGGTGGGTGGCCTGGCAGTTGCTCGGCATGGGCCTTGGAGAGCTGGCCCCCAGCCACACCCCCACGACCGGCTGGAGGCCAGCCACACCCAAAAGGGCAGAAAGGCCAGGGAACACCCACTGGGCACGCTGGCAGGCTGCACATATTAGGTGCCTTCTTCTCACAAGCCCACTGGTCCCAGGAAGGCAGGGGACACACTGGCCATTTTGTAGGTGGAAAAACTGAGTCTCAGAGGAGTAAAGTGATGTGTTCTTCATGGGGAGTGTAAGTAGATGCAGCAGAACTTGAATCCAGGGCTCTCTGACTCCAGTAAGAGGAAGGGTTGGGCTGGCCAGACCCCTGAGCCCCGAGCTGTGGTCAGCTCCTCATCTCTATTCTCCTTTCCAGGGGCTGGACTCCTAGGGGCATTTGGGCCAGGTGAGTCCATGGGCAGGAGGACAAGCAGGGGTGGGGCTGGTCATGCTGGGGCACAGCCCTGGGACCAGACAGCTGGTGGGGGAGCACGGGAAAAGGTTAGATGGCTGCAGAGGGGCCGCCTGCCCCACCGCCACCCACCCAAGCCTCTTCTCAGTTCCTGGTTGGTCCCCATCTTTTCTCCCAGCCCTGTGTGGTCAGGAAAAGCCCAAGCCTGTCTCCTGCCCTATTGGAGCTCAGGAAACAGGCCTGGCTTGAGAGAAGCCCCTGACAGAGCTGGGGAGAAGCAGGGCCTGTGGTGCTGGGAAGTGAACTCAGGCACACCCAGGCCCAGCCTGACCTCCACACCACACCTGCCTGGGAGGTAGAGGGGCCGGAGCTAGAGAGCCACCTTACAGAGGGGCCAGTGGAGTTTCAGATGCAGTCAGACCCCCACGTAGGAAAGGCTGGTGGGAAGGGAGACCACACCCAGTGAAAGCCAGGTAGGCCCTCCTGGGATCCAAGTCCGTAGAGCTCAGGACTCTGGCAGTCAAGACTGGTGCTGGCAGAAAAGATCCTCACATAATTGGAAACAAACCCAGCACAGTTGTGAACTCCAACCTGATTGCCCAGTGGTCCTGGCCAAAGCCATGGAATGTCTCCTGGAGGGGGAGAGGGAGCGATGGGACCCAGATGTGGGAAGCATCAGGCCAGAGGGACCCATCTGGCTTCTCATAAACATTTTAACATCGGCAAGCAAGGAGGCTCCTGGACTACAGGATGGACAGACTGACAGCTGGTGGGGGATGAAGGGGCTCCAGATAGAGGGGACAGGGAATGGGCTGAGCCAGGGGACCCCTGCAAGCAAGCAGAAGAGAGGCTTGGGGTGGGGACTAGCAGTGGGAGCAGGGCAGGGCCTGGCCTGGGTGTGGTCTTGCTGGCAGACTCTGCTTAGCCCCAGCCCTCCCAGAAAGCCCTGCTGGGTCCTCCATTAGCTGGTGGGCCTTCCAGGGGAAGCAAGGCAGGCCCAGGGATGTTATGGGGGGATCAGTGCAATCATGCCTACATGGCACATAGCAGCTAGTCATGATGTGGTGCTGCTGTTTTATTGGGATGAGGCCCTGAGTACCAAAGGTTGAATCCAACTTAGGGACCTGAGTGGTTGCACACTGACCACAGGGTTCCTGCCCCCTTCTCTATGAGATCCTTCCTCTCTGGGCCCAGGAATGATGCCCACACACCAGCCTCTCCTCTCCTCACCTGGCTTTGTCTCCTTCTCCCTGCAGGTGCTGGAGGGCTCGCAGGAGGTGGCCCTGGGGCAGGTTAGTGTTGATACACAGGCAAGATGCCATCTGGGGGTTACAGCCGGGCCCAGGGCAACTGCCCAGTGTGGGGAGCAGTCAGCATACGGGGATACAGACTAAACCTGTCCTGGGTACTGGCACGGGAGGTGATATTGAAACCCTCCTGCCCTGAGTGGCTGCCCAGGGCACAGGGGAGTCACAGCTGGGTCCTAGTGCTGAGAGCTGGAGAGAAGAAGCCCCCCAGGGCCAAGCAGCCCAGAGGAGTTGTTCAACTCAGCAAGACCTCAGGAAGACTTCCTGGAGGAGGGGGTGGAGGTGGAAATTTGACCCCAAAGAGATTCCCGCAGTTTTGTTAGGCTGAGCAGAGCGGTTTGACATGTTTTGCTCTCCAACACTAACTGGGTCCTGGGAGGAGAGGTCACAACTTGGCACAGAACTGCAGACAGCAGCAGAGCCCCCTCAAATGCGCCTCCCAGGCAGTTAGGGCTCAGGGCCTCACCCACTCCTCCTCTCCGCAGGGCTCGGGGCCTTTCCTGCAGGCACCTACCCGGGGGCTCTGGTGCCTGGCGGAGTGGCTGGCGCTGCTGCAGCCTATAAAGCCGCCAAGGCAGGTGAGTGTTACTCTCTCTGGGACAGTCAGAAGCTCCCTGGCCTCTGTGGACCCTCCACTTGGCAAAGAACCTTTCCTGGGAGGCAGACGGGTAGGATCCTCCAGTCTACAGGGCTTGAGGAGGCGACCAGCGGTGTCCAAGCCTCAGAGCGAGGTGGTGGCAAGGCTAGACCTCAACACTGGGCCCTGAGCTTGCAGCCCAGGGCCCTCCTGCCTCCCACTGTTCTTACATGACCCCTCGCCTCTCCCACTCCTGGCTCTGTAGGTGCCGGGCTTGGCGGTGTTGGCGGCATCGGCGGGGTTGGTGGCTTAGGAGTGTCTACAGGTATGGCCGCCAGACCCAGGTTGCCCAGGTGAAGCCTGCAGGCCTGGGTGGGACCCACTCTGATGTCGCCCCTTCCACACCAGGTGCGGTGGTGCCTCAGACTGGAGCAGGAGTCGGCGTTGGGGCTGGAGGGAAGCCTGGGAAAGTGCCTGGTCAGTGTGGAGTGCCTGGGCCAAGGGCGGAGGTCAGGATGCACAGGAAAGGCAGGACCTAGCTGCAGGGGAGGGAAGCGTGAGACCAACTCTGAAATGGGGGTGAGAGGCCCTTCTACCAGGATCCTGGGGCAGAAAGAGACCCCAGAGACAGGCTCTGTGGCAGGCACGTGGGTGAGAGATGGAGACACTGAGGTTCAGAATACAGTCAGTGCAGGAGGGCCGGCAGCAGCCAGTGGGGAGCTGCGGGGATCCCCAGGCGCACTGACGCCCCATCTGGTGCTTGGTCCCCGGCACAGAGCCCTTGAGGAAGTGACTTCAGGTTGAACAAAAGGCTGCTTGAGTCCACACAGCAGGGAGGGAACATCTGGCAGCTGTTAGCCCAGAGGTGGGCTGGGCCAGCCATGTAAACAGGCTCCAGGAGACAAAACAAATCCATGTACAGAAGGCTTTACAGATAACTTCCAAAACTGGTGGGAGAAGAGCCGCGGCCACCACATAGGTGTCCCTGGCTGCATCCCCTGGGTGCCCAGGTGGCTGGCTCGGGAGCCCTGGAGCTGCCGCAGAGGGAGGGGCCAGGGAGAAGTGCCTGGAGGCCGGGCTGCTGCTCACAGCTCTCTTCTTTTGGCCACAGGTGTGGGGCTACCAGGTGTATACCCAGGTGGAGTGCTCCCAGGAACAGGTGAGGGCAAGGAGGATGGGGCACTGTACCAAGGAGAGCAGCCTCTCACCTCCCCACTAGCTGAGGACACCAGAGGCCCTGGGTCCTGACCAGCACTGCTTCTCTAAGCAGCAGAGCTCAGGCCGACAGACATAAGTCCCCTGGTGGTGCAGAGCTCAGGCTGACAGACATAAGTCCCCTGGTGGTCTTTCCCCACAAAGCCTCCCCCAGCCCCACCCAAGCTCTAACCCCAGGGCCCAACCCAGATCATCAGCCTGAGATGGGCCTCCCAGGACACACCAAGTCCCCAGCATGGCCAGCTGTTTCCCAAAAGCTATGAGTCACCAGGAGGCCTGCCCCACACATCCGCCCTGCAGGAGAGCCCCTCGGAGCTGCCCTCTCCTCCTCCTGTCCGTGCCAGGGCCTGGCCACCCACTCATCATATGACCTTCGGAATTCCCCCAGAAGCCCAGATTTGGGCTGCTCTGTGGGATTCGCTGACAAGAGTGCACCTCTCTCTCTCTGACTGAGGTGGCCCACCCCCAGGGGAGACAGGAGAGGAGGGAGCACCAGACGCTGGCAAATGGAGAGTCCCTGCCCCAGCAGATGGCTGCTTTGTGTCTGGTTGTGAACGTACACTGATCCAGAGCCCCAAAAGGGCAGAGCCTTCCCGCTTCCCACCAGCTTGTACTGTCTGCCTTCTCAGTGGGGGGCAGACAGGGTGGCTGGAAACCAGCTCTAGATTAGAGACAAGGCCAGCTGAGGAACAGGAAACAGGTTTAAAACTCAGGTCTTCTGACACTGGGTCAGGCAGGAAAGGAGAATCACCACTGCACGGGGCCCTCTCCCCAAACATGGAAACCCTGCCTGTGGCTGACAGTACAGAGGGAGGTCAGCAGTGTGACCCTGAGGAGGTGTGGGTGCCAGGCCGGGCCTGCAAGGCCTGCCTTCTCTCCCTTACTGCCAGACCCCACTTTGCCCCCTTAGGAGCTCGGTTCCCAGGTGTGGGGGTGCTCCCTGGGGTTCCCACTGGAACAGGAGTCAAGGCCAAGACCCCAGGTATGCAGCCAGCCAGGCTGGGGGTCCATGGTGAGAATTTCTACCCACCCTCAGGTGCTTCTGGCCTGGGGTGGGAGCGGAGGTGGGCGGGGTGGGGAGGGGACCCTGGGCTCAGGGCCCTCTGGGCAGGTACCCCATGTGCTCCAATGCTGGGAAAAGATGGGCAGTGTACCTCTCTCTCAGAAGTCCCCAGGTGTGTGAGAGGGCAGCAGGAGATAGGAGGTCTGGGCAGAGTTGGCTACTGCCCCAGGCAGCCATCGGTGCTTCAGGGCTGCACCCATGGTGGCAGGGCTGCAGTGACAGCACCTTGTCGTTGCAGGTGGAGGTGGAGCTTTTGCTGGAATCCCAGGTAAGGCAGCAGACTGGCTAGCCAGGAAGGGGCTCTTGACCCGGCAGGCCCAGGCACCCAGAATCCAATCAAGGCCTGTCCAGTTCCCCTCAGGTTTACTACTCCTAGACTTGGACCACTTCAACCCAAAGTGGCATGAGCCACAGGCCTGCTCCTCTAACCCCTCTGTCTGTGCAGCCCCCAAATGAGCCCAGAAAACCCACCAGTCTGTGCCAAATGCTGGGAGGGCTGCAGGCCCCAGCTATGGCCCAGGCCCCAGCAGGGAGAGTCCTGCTGCTTCCTGGAGGAAGTGGCCTGGTGTTGGGGGATGCTAGGCTGGCCAGTGATGGACAGGGAGGCAGGACGGCCCACTAGGCAGGATGGTTTCCAGAGGCAGTTGGCACTCATTCTGTCTGAGCAGAAAGTGCAGTGCGAGGCAAGAGGCTTAGCAGGGGCTGCTGGTCCGAGTTGCTGGGCCCTGATTTTACTCTCCTTGTTCCCACAGGAGTTGGACCCTTTGGGGGTCAGCAGCCTGGAGTCCCACTGGGGTACCCCATCAAGGCACCCAAGCTGCCAGGTCAGAAGGAGGAGTCAAGAGGCACCACTCACTGGGCCTCACTGCTGAGAAGCCAGCTTGTACGGAGGCACTTGTGCAGCCACTAGTGTCTCTGTGCTGGGGCAGGGGGTTAGGAAACTTAGGTATCGAAGCTCACTTCTGGTCACCAGCAAAGGAGAGCATGGGAAAGCCAAACTGGGGTGCTGGCCTCACTCACAGGCACACACATGCACACACTCAGAGCCCTGTGGCCCTGATGGGAAACCACTTGTGTGGATGGTAAGAAACTCCATTCACTGGAAAAAGTCCTCTAATCCAACCCAACTCCACAATCAGCTCAGACAAGGAGATGTTTCCCCTTGAGGAGGAGAATAAAGAAGATATTCAGATTTCGGGGCCATGGCAGGGCCTGGATTTGTAGGGGAACGGGTGTCCCATCAGGCCCTGGAGCAGGACAGCCCTCTTCCTCCTCAACCCAGGGCCTCTGCTCTCCTAAGAACCTCTGTGAGCAGCTCAGGACCCTTGGGAGGAGGTCTCAGGCCTCAGTACCCGTGGGAGTAGGTTTGTCCACTGAGGCAGTGGCTTGGCACTGCCACAGGGCAGCCCCTAAGCCCGCCCTGCTCTCTCTTCAGGTGGCTACGGACTGCCCTACAGCACTGGGAAACTGCCCTATGGTGAGTAAGACCCTTCTAGATTGGTGCGCTTCCAGCTCTTTCCAGCTGCAGGGTCCTGGCAAGGGTGCTGTGTCCCTTAGAAAGAGACTCCCCTAAGAAAGGACATAGAACTTAGACTCGGACAGCCTGGTTCTCAATTTTGGCCCTCACACTTAGCCCCAGGCCTCAGGCAAACCAGTTTCTTCTCTGAGCCTGTGTTTTCATCTGTAAAATGGAAGTAACCATTCCACATGCTTTTGTATTTGTTTTAACTCTGACTGGGGGTGACGAGATGGACCCTCTGGGCAGCCCCGCCCCTGGACGGCAGGGGAGGACGGGAAGCCATGGTGAGGTCTGCACACACGCCCACTGGGCCTCTGTCTCACAGGCTATGGGCCCGGAGGAGTGGCTGGTGCCGGGGCCAAGGCTGGGTACCCGACAGGGACAGGTAAGGAAAGCCTCACCACACTGTCCGCCAGAGGGACGCTAAGCACCAGGCTCCAGAGCCCTGGGGCTGGCCAGGCTCCCTCCAGAAAGCAGGCCAGCCTATCCTGCATCCAGACACCAGTGTGAGCCTGGAGGAGGGTCCCGGGTGGGGGCAACTCAATCAGCCTCTGGCTGGCTATGAAGCCCCCACCCACAGCCCTATGTAGAAGGGTTGTTCTCTTGGCGCTGGTGGCTCTGAGATGCAGGAGCTGTTTTCAGAGTCTCTCCCCTTCCCTCCCTCAGGGGTTGGCTCGCAGGCTGCAGCAGCAGCCGCAGCTAAAGCAGCAAAGTATGGTGAGTACCTGAGATCCTCACTTGCCAGCCCCCTGCCCCAGCAACCCTCCCATTACACTTGGGGCCTGCCTCACAGACACTTACCTCTCCCTGTCCTCATTTATCCAAATGTGTCAACACCACTGGCTTCCTCCATCCCTCCCTCCTGCCTCCCATCTGTCCATTCAGTCTTCCTTCTCTCTCTCTCCATCCTTCCTTCCCTCCCTCCTTCCATCCATCTGTTTCAGAGCACAGGGACAGATAAGAGTCCTACTAGAAAATGTAGGCCCTGTTGTGGAATTACTGAAGAAAGAGACATTATTTCTACCTGGGGAAAATCATGAAGGCTTCTCAGAGAAAACAACATTTGATTCAGGCCTTAAAATATAGGTGGAGTTGGCCATTTGGTTAAAACAGTGAGGAGGATCCCAGGCAGAGGGAATAGATACTATGGTGGTTGGGATGATCATTTTAGGTGGTACATATATGAGCATCTAAATAAATAATTTAATAGTTTAGCATCAATTTAATGTGTGCTGTAAAATGTGCAACAAGCCCCTTCAGCCATGACCCCTTGGCTAGCAGATGTGGCACAGCCTTCCCTGAACCCATGTTGGGGGCACAGGGGCTTCTGTCCCCCTGCCCCAGGTAACACCCAGTTCAGAATCAGTTCATTGGGACTGAAGTCCTTGCCTTGTCTCCAGTCCCAGGCGAGCCCTTCCTGTAGCCACGGTGGGACAGAAGACATCTCCCCATCAGCCCAAAGGCTGACAATGAGGGGGGAGCACTGAGCTAGAGGCCTGCTCCACCGAGGCCCCCCAGGCCCTCCCTCCCAGTCCCCCAGGCTGGAGGGGATGGCTGGAATGTGGGAGAAGGAGAGTGGGGCAGCAAGGGGCTGCCAGAACCAGGCAGCCAGGAGCTTGGATTACAGACTTGGCTGGGTCTTCGGAACACAGGGAGAGGAAGCCTTGTACATTCCTACGGGGGGCCCCTCTCTGGCCCAGGGAGCGGCGGCTTGTGGTTTCTCAGTATGTGGCAGTGGTTAGAATGAGATTTGTCTGAAAACATACATGTCCCTTAATACATGTGTTGAAATGGACACTCTGGGGGTGTCAAGGAACAGTGGGGTGGCGGCCTTCTCAAGCAGGTAAACTAGAGATGCCTGGGCCTTGTTCCCAGGGGATAGCATCTGGGTAAAAGGCCAGCATCCAAGTGTCCTTCCTGCCTGGTCTCAGGAGGGGTGCTGGGAGCCACACCTGCCCTGTCCCTATCCCAACAGGTGCCGGAGGAGCTGGAGTTCTCCCTGGTGTTGGTGGTGGCGGCATTCCTGGTGGGGCCGGCGCCATTCCTGGGATAGGAGGCATTGCAGGTAGCATCTGTTCCAGCAGGGGGTGAGGATGTCCTGGAGAGGGCCACCACGGGGAAAGGGCCTCAACCTCTGCGGCTGTCTCTCCAGGGGCCGGGGCTCCAGCTGCTGCTGCAAAGGCGGCCACTAAGGCAGCTAAATATGGTGAGTACCCCCAGAGGGGATAGGCCCAGGACTCTGGCCAACCCTCAGACCCTCAGGACCTGCTCTCAGAGCCCTGTATGGGCCTTGGAGACCCCAGTCCTACAAGGCTGGATGGACTTTGTCCATCTATGGCAGCCTCCCTCCTCCCACCCCCAAACCTGCTTGTTCTTGTCTCCTTATCTTTGCCCCTTCCAGCCCTTTTTACTGATGGGCCCAGCAAAGGGGGTGCCCTGTGGAGCATCTGGCTCCTCCCATTCTTCCGGGCCAACCCATGGCTGCTGTGCCAACTGCATGGGTGCCCCATGGGGAGCTCCAACTTTGCTTTAGACTAGGATCAGTTTCTCCCCACCCATGCATCCAAGCCCTTAGAGCTCTAGAGGGCTCCCTCAGCTGTTCCAATCTCTTGGATGAGCTGCATCTATGCAGAGGCAATGCCAGCCCACCTGCCACTCCCACAGCTCCTCACCACCATTCACTTGGAGGACCTTTGAGGTTCCCTCTGAGGGTCCCATCAGAAGAACAATCCTTTCCTTCTACAGGAGCTGCTGGAGGCTTGGTGCCTGGTGGGCCAGGCTTTGGCCGGGGAGTACCAGGTGTCCCAGGAGTTGGAGTCCCTGGTGTTGGGGTCCCTGGTGTTGGAGTCCCTGGTGTTGGCATCCCTGGTGTTGGACTCCCAGGTGTTGGGGTCCCAGGTGTTGGGGTCCCAGGTATTGGGGGACCAGGCATCATGGGTGGGCTGGACTGTGTGTGTGTATGTGTGTCTAGGTGCAAGAGAGAAAGATTGAAACTATTGCCAAGACTTTTGGACTTCCCCTAGTGCCTCACCCATCTATCCTCTTTGCTCCATCTGTTCACCGTGCTACATCTTCTCTTCCTTGGGCTTTAACAATCTCCTAATTAGTCACTCTCACCATCATTTTCTCTAATTCACCTTCTGGCTGTCAGTGTGCTCCTGGGGGCAGGAACCATGTCTTTTTCATCTATATGTTCCAAGCACTTAGCTGAATAGGTGCTAAGTAAATGGTAGATGGGTGGGTAGGTGGGTGGATAGATGGATGGATGGACAGATGGATGGATGAATGGAATGGATGGAATGGATGGATGGATGGATGGATGGATGGATGGATGGATGGATGGGATGGACGAGATGGATGGATGGGATGGGATGGATGGATTGGTGGGTGGATTGATGGACGGACGGGATGAGTTTGTGGATGGTTGGATGGATGGATGGATGGATGGATGGATGGATGGATGGAATGGATGGAATGGATGGATGGATGGATGGATGGATGGGATGGACGAGATGGATGGATGGATGGACAGATGGAAAGGACGAGATGGAAGGAAGGATGGGATGGACGGATGTGATGGATGGATGGGTGGGTGGATTGATGGATGGATGGGATGGGTTTGTGGATGGTTGGATGGATGGGTAAGCACATGGTTGGATGAGCAGGTAAACAGATGGGCAGGAGAAGGTAAATGCAAGATGGGTAGTTGGATAGTTAGATGTATGGATAAATAGGCCAATGAGTGAATAAGTGGATGAACATAAGCCTACATGGATAGACAGAGAGATAAGTGTTTGAGTGGGTGGATCAAAATCCAAGAAAAGACAGACATATGGATAGGTCAGTGGATAGATGAATGGGTGGTTAGATAGACAGATGGACAGATGGGTACATAAAGATATAAGTAGGTGAATGGATGGGTAAGCATCCATTGGGTTGGCTCAATTGACAGAAGATGGGCCAGATAGATGGTTGGACAGGGGGTATATATTGCACATCTCTCTTCCATTCTCTCCTGATCACTTGTGTCCCTTTTGGTCTCTCCAGGAGCTGTCTCACCAGCTGCAGCTGCTAAAGCAGCTGCCAAGGCTGCCAAATTTGGTGAGTGCTGTGCCGATAGTCTGCCCCTCCCTGTTCTGGCCAGAGAAGGGTAGTGACTGGCCCAGGGTCACACAGCAAGTCACTGGCAGAGCTAGGACTTGGACCAGTTGGGCCCCGGAGTAATGTCTCCCCCATTTGTCTCCCACTTGTCATGAAGCCAAGAGGCTGAGTGATAGGAGAGCCCCAAGATGGCATTCCTAGTAGGAACAATGTCCCTGGCCCTTCCTGCCCTGGCCAGGGCCCTTTCAGAGGAGCCTAAGCCTGGCTGGAGATATGGGACCTGCCCACCGTCTCTCCATAGCCCACAAAGGGGCCCTTCCCCAAGTGCTCAGTGAGAGAGGTTGGGGAAGTATCTGGAGGCAGTCAGCAAAGGTTTCCTGGAAGAGGCTGGTGGGGGCCCAAGCATTCCATGGTTTCCAGTCCTTCAAGGACAAGACTTGGGGGAGGCTTTCATCCTCTCCCCCAGGTGACCAGCATCACCTAGAGCTCAACCCAGCTTCTCATCGAGATCCTTTTCTACTTCATTCTCCCACCTCTGCAGGGGCCAGAGGCGGAGTGGGAGTTGGAGGCATTCCCACTTTTGGAGTTGGTGCTGGGGGCTTTCCTGGCTACGGGGTCGGACCTGGAGTTGGAGGTGTTCCTGGAGCTGCCCTCTCCCGTGAGCCTTAGTTGCACCTAGAGAAAGTGGGAGAAGGCATGGGGGCTTCTCTTCTGTAGGGCTATGGGGGGTAGGGGATGAGGGAGTGTGGCCTGGGCTTCAGCCTGTTCAGGCAGGAACTGGGGAGAGTGCGGGGAGGGCCTGCCTTTGAGCAGGAGCCCTGCTCTGAGCACAGCCTCACAGGGACCCAGCAAGACGTCTGCGTGTACCTTTCTTTCGTCTGAGTGTACCTTTCTTTCTCGGTTCCTGTTTCCTCACAGCTGCAGCCCAAGCCGCAGCTGCAGCTCAGGCAGCCGCTGCAGCCAAGGCCGCCGCCAAGTATGGTAAGTTCCTGTGCCTGGCCTGTGCCCACTCCCACCTGAGGCATGCATCCCCTTTCCCCATTCCAGCCCTGCTCATCGGTGGGGCCCAGGCTCTGAGCTTGGAGCAGTTCTCCAGCATGAGGGCAGAGCAACCTCACGCTCAGGTCTCTGGGACTGAAATGGCCTGGGCCAAGGTCAGGCATCCCTGGCCCCATCTTCCAAAGCCACACTGAACTTCTCTGCCCTTTTTAGTTGCCCACCATTAGGATTATTGGTGCCCTGCTTATCACCCTCACCCCAAACCAGCAAGTTGGAGGTGCTCATGCAGCCATTCTGCTCCCCACTCCACCTCCACCCTCCACTCCCCCAGAAAGGTGGGTGATCCTAGGGGCAGGGCTGGACAGTCTCCCCTCCTCCAGGTGCTGGAGGAGCAGGAGCCCTGGGAGGGCTAGTGCCAGGTGTCGGAGATGGAATACCAGGTGTGCCCGGCACTGGAGGGGTTCCAGGTGAGCTAAGTCCTGCTTCGTCTCATGGAAGGGGCCTTGAAGTTGACCCAGGCCACGTGCATCACTTTACAGATGGCAAGACCAAGCCCAGAGGTGGAGATGAGGGAAAAGCAATTTCCCCTAGTTCAGAGGGAAGACCCTCCATGGGATTCCAGTTGCTCAGTAAAATGGGAATAATAGTACCAACTTCATAATGGTGGTATAAAGATTACTTTAGCAAATAGCAGCTTTACAAAACAGGGGTTGTCTGTCATATGTGGAGGAGCTCAGGAAGTCAGACAGTAGGCGGGCGAGCTCTGTCCTGCCAGGGCTTGATGGCCTTTCTTGTTCCTGATCAGGTGGGAGGGCCTGTATCACCCTTTAGTTTCCTGGGCTCTTTCTTCTCCACTAACCAGAGGCCAAAGGAGGAGATTGAATTACAATGAGATTAAGTTACAGCCTGGCATGGTTGTTTTTTCCCATCAGATTTCTCCTCTGCATTCCTTCTTTCTGGGATAAAATTCTCCTTTTAAATTTCCCCAAGAAATGAGCCATTTCCTCCAATAATTTGGATACAGGCACTTTTTAAAGGATTTTTTAAATTAACACTACTTTCAGCAGAAGGTGCCACACGTTTTAGAAGAAGGCTTAGGAGAGGACCACTCACAGCTTTGGGCTCCCCTCCACCACAGCCAGAGCTGGAATATCACAGTCTCAGAGCCACTTGTCAGCGAAGGGATGTGCCCAGGCCAGCGGGCAGGCCCACTGCAGAGCAAGCCCGGAACCCAGGCACCTGCCTCGGCCTGGGCTCTGCATGCTTCCCTCTGTCTCTCGCGTGAGGAGGCAGCTCAGGGAGAGTCTTCTGGGAGAGGGGACAGTTCCCTAGAGGGAGACTCTGGGAGGTCTTTCCACAGTGGGGGATGGGGGACACTGGGGAGGGACCACTCCCTGAACCCTGCTTGTCACCTATACAGGAGTAGGGACCCCAGCAGCTGATGCCGCCAAAGCAGCCGCCAAAGCTGCCCAGTTTGGTAAGTGCCCCATCCCCTCACTTCTGCCCCAGCCATCCTCATCCCTCATGTCCCCTGCTCAGCTCCCCTTGAGAGGCAGGTGCCCCTGAGGCGGTCACAATCTGAACATGTGCCTTCCACACAGCTTTTGGCATGCCTGTCTGCTTTTAGGGGCCATGGGTGAAGGGTGAAGCTTCTGATTACAAAAGCACAGTGAGAACAGGCCCTGCTGAGCCCTCCAGGACCCACTCCCCACTCTTTCCACAGGCCCTCCACTCTCAGTCCAGCCAGGGGCCTGCCCCCTTTCTGGGCTCCTCTGGGCTCCCACCCCCTTGAGCCATGGCAGTATTTCTTGCTCCCTGACAAGGTTCTGCATCTCTTGCTACATGCTATCCTGGCAGCCCCAGGTACCCACACCTTCCTGAATATTGCAAACTGCAGCAGCCCCACCCATCAGAGCCCAGCTGCATGTCAGGCCCTGGGCCAGGGGGTCCACGAGTCCTGGCTTTAGGGACCTGCGGGCAGCAAGGTGCAGACCACAAAGTCTACAGCTGTCTGGGCCAGAGAACATCTTAGCCTCAGGTCAGCTGAGCTCCAAACTCACATATGACAGACAACCCCTGTTTTGTAAAGCTGCTGTTTGCTAAAGTAATCTTTATACCACCATTATGAAGTTGGTACTATTATTCCCATTTTACTGAGCAACTGAGGTTCTGAGAGCTTAAGTAACAGGCCCACATTCACACAGCTAAATGGACTGAGCTGAGCTTTGAACCCAGGTCCACCTGTCTTGCAGAGCTTCCTTTACCATGTAGCTCTGCTTCCATCACCCTCCAAAGTCTCAGAAAAGGTCTTTGTCCCCCAAAAGTTAAGAGCTCCTGATCCTGTACATATTTACGGGCAGGGTGTGGGGTCCACAGTGTGCAGCCTGAATGAGGAAGCTGAGGGCCACCAAGGGAAAGTAACTTGTCCAGGGTCACACGGCAAGGCTGTGCCTGGGCTGGGATGGGAACCGAAGGCCCTTGACTCCCAGCCTGCTTGCTCCTTCCGTCAGCTTCTGCCTCCTGGGTCGGACTTGGTAAAGATGAGCTCTTCTCGCCCTTGTAGGGTTAGGCCCTGGTATTGGTGTGGGTCCTGGCGTGGGTCCCGGCCTTGGTGTGGGGCCTGGCATTGGCGTGGGGCCTGGCGGTGTTACAGGTGAGCTGCATGAGCAAGTGGGCCTGAGGGGCTTCTGAACCCTCCGTGGATACCACCCCTGAGCCTCGTCCCTCTCCATCCAGGAGTAGGGACCCCAGCTGCAGCCAAAGCCGCCGCTAAAGCAGCTGCCAAAGCCCAGTACCGTGAGTGGCCACCTACCTGTCTCCTCCCCCGACCAAGCCCAGGGCTGGCCCAGGGAGACCCAAGTCTGTGCTGGGCCCCAGCATAGTCAGCCTCATCAGGCCCCCAAGGCATCAGGCAGCACAGGGGTTGCAAGGACAGGTTTGGGGTGAGGGAGACCCAGGTTCAAGTTCTGCATCCCATACAAGTTGAGTAACCTCTGATTCCTGTCCTTGTGTGTGACACCTCATATGGGTGCTGAAAGAACCTGCTACAGACGGTTGTGAGGAAAATTGAGTTCCTCCAAGAGAGAAGAGCGGGAACTTCTGCTGGGAAGGGTGTGCAGTCCACAGTGTGCAGCCTGAAGGCCAGCCTTGGTGGTCTGTGGAAGTTTTAGGAGGGCCATTCCAGGGGCAGCATAGGGAGCAGATAAGGGGGAGGAGGACACACCTGGGTCTGGGCCCCTTCTCTTGGGGCCTGACTCAGCTCCCTGGGCAGAACGCCCCCAAAGGGGCCTGTGCCTGCCTGCTGCCACCATGCCACTGCCCCTGTCCCCTAGGGGCTGCCGCCGGGCTTCCTGCCGGTGTTCCCGGATTTGGAGTTGGTGCGGGCATTCCTGGATTTGGAGCTGGTGTTCCTGGCTTTGGGGCTGGTGCTGGTGTTCCTGGCTTTGGGGCAGGTGCAGGTGAGGGGCCTTCTAGGGGCTGGATAGAAACTGCCCCCTGAGCCCAGGGGAAGGCCTTCTCTTCCTCCTGGCACACCCCCGGGGCCCAAACTCAGGGGTGCGTAGTAAATTCTCCATTAGGTTCTAAAAGAGCCAAGTAAGGCAACAGATGGAGGGCAGGCCAGGCAAAGGGAATCCCAGCTGCCGGACTTCAGCATTTCTGCCTCTCACAGGAGGGGTGACAGGGCTCTAAACTGAGAGGAAGCTCACTACCCAGGAAGGGAGGTGGAGGTCCCTGGTGTCAGGAAGCACGAGTGGCTGGCTGGCTCCACTTCAGCACTGCACTGTGGCAAGGAGGCCACTAAGAGCTCTAGTTCTTCACCTAGTGGTCACTAGCCTCAGGCAGATCCTACTGGGCCTGGAGAGGTGAGAGGGGGCAAATGGAAGGAGGAGGCACAGGTCAACCCTCAAGCCCTCCAGACCAGACTGGCAGTGGTACAGGTAGACACTGAAGCTCTAGCTGGCAGGACAAGCTCCTGGCTGGGGAGCCACAATTTCAGGGCTTTGAGAAGAAAAATGAAGGCCTAGGAAGACAGGGAAGGCTTCCTGGAGGAGGCAGGACTCCCAGGCACAGAGCTCAGCTGCTGATGACCACCTGTTTTCCTCTGTCCGTTTTCCTTAGTACCTGGATCCCTGGCTGCAGCTAAAGCAGCCAAATATGGTGAGTGTACCCCACATATTGCCCCTCCCTGTGGTTGGTTCCCTGGGTGCCCCCCCCAAGCACTGACAGCACCTGGTCACCCATCTTCCCACCCCCTGGGCCAGGGCTCAGTGCCCAGAGACTGTAGTGTGGGGCTGGGATGGTCAGGACGGAAAAAGGCGGTTTCTAGGACACAGTAATAACGGTTTAGCAGACCTGGCTCCTGCCCACTAAATGCCTATCATGCCTCCAGCCCCAGGACAGTAAAAATCACCCCTCATACTTCCAAGGCCCTTGGGGGCAGGTCCCCCTTGGTGAAGACCATGAGTCCTAAGGCTCCTCCAGCCCTGCTAGTTTCATGGGACATGAGGCCAGGGAGGGGCTAGGCCTTCTGTTGGCTGGGCTGCCTCTGCCTCCTTGCCAGCAGATCTGGGACTCCTGGTCCAGGCCCCAGGCCCCCTGCCCGCCTCCCTGTCAGAATGACTGCGCCCGCCACGTGCTGCAAGGACGTGGCAGACCCGCCTGCCCCTCCACTTGGCACTTGGGTAGCACAGCCCAAACAGACCCACACTGTCTGTGGCCCCTGCATTCCTGGCCTCCTGGGAGCCAGGCTGGGGCCTCTGCCAGGGAACCGCCAACCAGCTCTGGCCAGTCCACTTGAGGCCAGTTTCCACCTCGGAAAATCCCAGCCTTCTCAGCCCCCACCTAGTGAGGGCCCGGTGACCCTCTGGCCAGTCGCCTGTTCCTCGCTGGCTGCTCTGCAACCTGAACCTGACAGACATTTCCAGGGAGACAAAACAGTCAATGGTGCAGGCTCCTGAGCCATTTCCTGCCCATGGAAACTTGAGCACATTCCTTAACCTCTGCTGGGTCTCAATTCCTCACCTGCAAAATGGGGGTGATCACAGTACCGACCTTCCTTGTTGCCGAGAGTAGTAAGCAGGGTGATGTGTGTGCAGTGCTGGGAACTGTGAGTGCACCGTAAGGTTACATTCTCAGCCACTCTGTGCGGGATGATGGTTCAGACCTCAGAATAGTTCACAGAGAGTGCGTCCTTCTGTTCTCCAAACACCTGCAGGGTAAGCAGGGTAAGTAAGGATCAGCACTTCATTTTAGGGAGATGGGGCTCTGGGGCTCAGAGAGGCAACTGCTATGAGTGGAGAAACCAGGATTCAAACCCAGGGCTGTCAGAACCTGACACTAGTCTTCTTGGCAGCTCACAGCCACCACTGTGGCTGCCTGTGCCTCCCAGCGCCAGCCTGGCAGAAGGAGAGGAGATGGGCAGGCCAAAGCCCAAAGGGGCCTGCCCCTGCCTAGTTGGTGTCTGGGAATGGACTTCGGTTCTGTGCTCCTTCCACTGGGTCACATGGCCTTGGCCCCCAGTCTGCTTGCACAGTGTCCCTGGGGGCAGGGAGACCCCATCCTTCAGAAATGGGGGGACTGACTTTCCATCCTCTCTCCACAGGAGCAGGAGCCCTTGGTGGAGCAGGTGTCCCAGGCGGTGTGGCAGGTGAGCTGAAACCCCCCCAGGGGGCTGGGCAGGGAGGGAGACTGACCCATGGGGAGTGCCTCCTTGAACTCTTTCTGTGTCTGCAGGAACTGGACCTGCTGCCTCAGCCGCCGCTGCCAAAGCTGCTGCCAAAGCTGCCCAGTTCGGTGAGTACCAGTTGGGGCTGAGCCAGGACCCCCTTGAATGCAGATTACATGGAGCTGGGCCTCCCCTCATTCTTCTCTCCTTCCCTTGCAAGGCTAGGCTTGGAAGCATCAGCTTTCCCAAAACACCATGTTCCAGATGAGGCAAACAGGTTCAGGCAGTGCCAGCACTTTCCAAGGTCACACAAAGAGTGAGGCAGAGTCCAGGGCTTCCCACACCCAAGCCCAGAGTGTGGCCCCTCTCAGGGGAGGCCCGTGCTACCAGGAAGTGAGCACACTCACAGCCCCCAAGGCTCGGGGAGGCCTCTAAACATGTACCACATATCCCCTGACCCGTCCCCGAGGCTCTCAGGTGCATCATCCCCCAGGTGCACCAACCCACCTCCCAGCCCCACTGCACCCTCTGAGGCCCTGGGAGCTCAGGCTCCACTTAGATGCTGGGATGATATCTCCACCCCTCAGCAGACACACTAGCCAGGATTTAATACACAGCTTTCTCCACAGGCCTGGGAGGAGCTGTCGGGCTTGGGGCCGGAGGACTAGGAGCTGGAGGACTGGGAGTCGGAGGGCTTGGGGTTGGTGGAGCCATCCCAGGGGTCGTGGACCTAGGAGGTGAGGGCTACTCTGGAATCAGTAAACACACGGGATGTGTATGTGTGTATGTGTGTGTGTGTGTGAGAGAGAGAGAGAGAGAGAGAAATCGACTTTCTTTCACAGCTTGCCACACCTTGCCCAATCTGTCTTCTCCACTTGGGTCCCATCTGCACCTCATCTGCAGCTCAAGGTTGCAGGAGTGCCACCCCTTTCTCCAAACTCCTGCAGCATTTGGAGAGAGACTTCAGCAAGCAGAAACTAGGGCTGCCCCTAGGGAGCCTATCCTGTCCCTCTCCTCTTTCAACCCACCTGACCACTTGAAGGGGGAGTTCATTAGGATAATGATGATTATGCCCATTTTCCAGAGAAGAAAAGCAAAGCTTGGAGGGAAGTTACTTTCCCAAAATCTCTGCTGTCATGGAGGACCTTGGGTTGACATTCCTCCTTTCTGGGTCATCACTATGTCTCCTGACCTAGGCCAGGCTGTAGTTTCTTCAGTGTGCTCCACAAGACTGGCCACACTGTCGGAGTTTTAAAGAGTTTGCAAACATGGATGGATGAAGGAGGGATGGAGGGATGGTGGGAGGATGAGTCAGCGGGCAGATGGTCAAGGGGTGAGCAGGTCGGCGGGGGGACATAACCTGGGAGGGAGGTGATAGTCCTGAGCCCTCATGCTCCCATCTCCCCAGGTGTGTCTCCAGCTGTAGCTGCTAAAGCCGCCAAATATGGTGAGTCGCTCCCTGACACCCTCCCTCTCCCCAGGCCTACAGACAGCTGTACCCCCACACCCCCATCGCCCTGTCCCCACCCAGCTCAGGCCTCAGTCCTGCTCTCAATGCCCCTGAAGGCTGTCCAGGATATCCCTGATGCCAGAGCCCAGAGGGGATGCTCAGGACCCCTTATGTGCCTTGTCCTGACGTCCATCCACCCTCTTCTCAGGTGCCGCTGGCCTCGGAGGCGTGCTAGGAGCCACCAGGCCATTCCCAATTGGAGGTAGGGGCCATCTCAGCTGTGAGATCCTCAGCTCTAGGGGAGGCCTGGCTGGCTAGCGGCAGGGACTCCTGGAACTTTATCTAGCACAAGGACACAGAGAGATGGTGGAGGGGGCAGTCCAGGAGAGGAAACATCCTGGGCAAAGGGGCAGGCCTCAGGGTCATGGCCTCAAGACACCAAGCTGATGAGCTAAGGCCATGGGGCCCCAGACCAGGATGCCAGGCAGGGACAAGGTTTGTTAAGAGCGCTGCTCTGGCAATGGGGAGGAGGGCAAGGGAGGAGGCGGTCCTGGGCAGAGAGGCAACAGGTGACAAGGCTGCAATGGGGCCTGCCTCACACCAACCCCAAACCCCTCCTGCAGGAGTTGCAGCAAGACCTGGCTTTGGACTGTCTCCTATTTACCCAGGTACACCGAGGCTCTCTGCTCCCAGGCCTTGCCTTGTCTGGAGCTCTGGCCCTGTCCTTCTTCCTCCCGTGCTTTATCTTCTGCTCAGAAGGGCTGAGCCAGGACCCAGGGGCGGACCCTGTGACCTCAGATGACACGAAGCTGGGCCTCCCCTCATTCTCCTCTCCCTCCCTTACAATGCCACAAAGCATCAGCTTTCCCAAAACACCATATTCCAGATGAGGCAAACTGAGGTTCAGACAGTGCCAGCACTTTCCAAAGCCACACAATAAGTGAGGCAGAGCCCAGGGCTCCCCATCCTCAAGCCCCAAACTCGGCCCCTCTTGGGAGAGGCCCATGCTGCCTGGGAGGGCTTGGGTGGCTCCCCAGAAGAGCGCGCACTTACAGCCCCTGTTCTTGCCTCATAGGTGGCGGAGCTGGGGCCCTGGGAGTCGGTGAGTCTGCAATCAGAAGGAGGGGCCCCTTTCCAGCAGGGCCCTTGAGCTGCTTTCCCTGGGTGGAAGCAGAGTCCTGTTGAGGCAATAGCTGGTGTGGCCACGCCTTGGGCTGGTCTTCTTGCATCAGGGCTTGAGGGAGCCTCCAGGAGAATCAAAAAGCCAAAAATTTGACTGTGGGGTGTAGGGACAGGGGGCAAGGGTCCCGATTCCTAGGGCTCCCAACCTGGCCCTTGACAACAGGAGCAAAAAGGAGACCTGGGTCATGCCCAGTCTTAGGGTCTAACTAGAGAGATTGACAAGGTCCCATGGAAAAGGAGAGAAACTGTTGGAGAAGGGCAAGTTCCATTCAAGCAGGTGGTCAGGAAGGCTGAAGCCTAGAGCATGTCTGATTCAGGGGTCTGCAACTAGGAAATGTGGCCAGGCTGTGAATGCGGCGGGTGATGGCACCCATAGGCTGGAGGGATCTTCAAGGGTCAGGCTGGGAGTGAATGAAGGCCAGGCTGGGGGCAGGGGAGCCTTCAAACCACCAAATGTGCTGGGGGTTCTGTGAGAGGCGAGAAGCCTGCCCCCTCCCCAATCCCTACCATTCCCTCCACAGGTAAACCTCCCAAGCCCTATGGTGGGGCTCTGGGGGCCCTGGGATACCAAGGTGAGTAGAGCTCAGTCCCTGCCAGAGAACAGAGATGGAAAGGAGGCCATCGGCCTGGGGGCGGGGCAGCAGGTCAGGCGGGGTGGGTGGGGTTGGGGGAGCTGGTCACCTCACTGTCCTTTCTCTGGCCTCTGACACAGACCCTCAGGGCTAAGAGTGGGCCAGGCCTGGCAGTCCCTCCTCCCTCCCTGCTGCGTGCACCCACCCCTGCAGGGACGGGGCAAAGGGGAGACTTGGAGAGGCAGAGAAGGAGAGAGAGGCTGGAGGAGACAACAGAAGCCCTGGAGTCAGGGGATTTGAGGGGTGCAGGGGGCCCCAAGGTCCCCCCAGCTGGGCAGGGTGGGCAGAGGCCGCTACCTGGCCCACAGCCAGCCACATCCTTGCTCAAAGATGCAGACATGCCTCTGGGAGTGTGTGGGGCAGGTTCTGGTCACTTTGCCCTAGATGCCTCGCAAGGATGCCCAAAAGAGCCCCAGCTCCACCCCTGTGTTGCTCGGGCTGTGGAGCCTCTCCCCACCTCTTCCTGCCTCCCACCACACAGACGAGGCAGCCAAGGGCAGGGCAGGGAGGGGCAGAGGCAAGCCAGCCTGACTCTTTCCAGAGTGCGCTGCCCTCAGTCGGGCACCAGCTGGCCCTTGTGGCCCTGTCACACTGATTTCCAAACACTCAGGGAGGGCTTTGCAGCGAGATGCCTGTCCCTGCCCCACTGGTCGGTTCGCTGCCACCAGGTGGCGGTAATGGGCCATGTCTGGCCACTACCAGACAACAATGCCCTGATGGTCTGAAACATGGCTTCCCAACGAGACCCTCCCCAGGAGAGGGCAGGCGTCCTGAGGGCGAGTCCCAGTTCAGCCACTGACTGTGGATGAGTAAGACTCTCCCTTTCTCCGAGCCTCTATGTATTTATCCAGCGCTCTCACACTTACAGGACTCCCCTAGGAGGGCCGTCTCCTCCAGACCCTGTGAACTAATCCTTCCCCCTATTTCCCTGTATGGCGGCTGCTCTGAGCAGCTCGCTGAAGGCTTCCCAGATGCAGTGGCCCAGGGTACGGACCTTGTCCAGGCCTGAGCTTTGATTTCAGCACCATATCTTGGGCCCTGCTCCCACCCACCTGCCCGGTGGAAGTTTGTGCAATGGAATGGCTCAGTTTGGCCTGAGGCTGTAGCCAGGCTTCTTGTGGCTTCTGGGAGCCAGTGTTCCTGCTGCGGGTGTGAGAACAGCTTGGAGCTGGCCCAAGTAGGTAGGGGCTTGAATAGCAACCAGGAAGGACTGAACTGAACAACCGGTGCCTCCCCCCACCCAGGTGGGGCCTGCCTGGGGAAGTCCTGTGGCCGGAAGAGAAAGTGAGCTTCCCAGGACCCCTGACTCACGACCTCATCAACGTTGGTGCTACTGCTTGGTGGAGAATGTAAACCCTTTGTGACCCCACCCCATGCCCCCTCCTAAATCCCCACCCCGGGAGGGAACAGGGCAGGCCGGGCGGCCTTGGAAATCCACAGGGCAAGGAAATGGCAGCAGGGGCCAAGTGGGCTCCAGGAGGCCCCCTACTTCAGAGGCCAGGGGCAGATGGGCATGGCCCCCTGCCCCCAGACCCTTCCCACCCAGGAGCTCCCCCTCCACACACTCTCCATCTCCAGGGGAACTTGGTGCTACATGCTGGTGCTCTCATCCTCCGGTGGGAGGGAGGAGGGAAGGGCAGCCCCTTGGGAACCCCTCCCTGGGGCTCCTCTGAAAATGGTGCGGACACTTCCTGGGCAGCTCCGCCTCCCCCTGCCCACCAGGACCCACCCTGGCTGTGGTCCGGTTGGTACCCAAGCACCCACAGCCTCAAGCTGGGTTTGGTCACAACATCTCTTGGCCCCCTTGGCCACCTCTACCACACCTAGTCACCATGTCTGGGGCACTTTCAGGTGGGAAGAACCCCTTTGGGAATAGCTCTCTTGCTCTTGTGGAATTCATCCGCCCATCTGTCCATCCGTCCATCCATCCTGTGCCCAGTTGACCACCCGGCACCCCTAGCTAGCTGGGCATCGCTACCACCAACCTGGTCAGCCTGTCAGGCAGCCTGTGCCCAGCCTTCCCCACCATACACACCCCTACAAAGGGGCCTGAGCGCTGGGTGTAAGGGGCTGTGCTGGCTGGGGTGGCAGGAATGTCCTCCCCAACCTGGAGCCCCCCATGCAGTACTGTATCCCCCATCCCTCCCTCGAGCCACTGTATTCCAGAGCATTTCCCCCACCTCCATCTCTTTGTGTCTTGCTGTGATAGATCAATAAATATTTTATTTTTTGTCCTGGATATTTGGGGATTATTTTTTATTATTGATGTTCTCTTTCGGTTATATTTTTATGGTTGATTGAAATAAACATTTTCTTTTCTGATCTGGGGAGCTATATCACCAGTAGTAAATTCATTTTAATCACTTTGGTATAACTCTGGATGAAACACACATTTTTTTAAGTAAGAAAAGAGAATTAATTGCTTCAGAAAAGACTAATAAAGGAAAACCTTATAAAGGAAACTGTCTTGGGCTCCTTTGTATGCTCTCATCTGCCTTCAAATCCTGGTCCAGGGAGGGAACAGGGCTCATCCCTGGGGAACCTCCACTGTGCAAGGTGTATTTGGGGGACTGCTTACCAGAATCACCTGCAGTTTGCTGCTGGCATATTGCTCCTTCAAGTTCAGCTTGCCATTTAACAATGAAAATCCCTTTGTAGGGGAAGCAGAGACAGCCAGCCACACACATGGCCCATCCACAGCTTACCCATCCAGCCACCTTCCCTAGTCCTTACTCCTTAGGCCCAAGACCTTGAGCACAGGGCCTGGTGGGTGGCGTCTGGATGCTGAGGAAACAGCTGGAAGAATGAGGAAAATAAAAATGTCCCTTGTGTCCAGACCAAACCCTTACCCTTGGCATTGGTGAACAGCCATGCAGAGACGGGATAAACAGCCCCACCTAAGAAAACCAGAAGACGTGTTCTCCTCTAAAATATCCCTGCTAGGGAAGGCCCTCCCTCACATGTGGCACTGCTGTACTGCTTTCTAGGATGCAATAAATGAAATCCTGCAGGCAGCCCTGGGAGACTCAATACCATCCTTAGGTGCGCCCATTCCCAGGGCTAGCCCCCTCCGCTAGGAGCCAGAAGTCCACAGGGCCTGGGGACATGCCCCCTGGATCCCACAACTCCCTTCTAGATCACACTCTGGGTACCAGATTCTAGAATTTCCTCCCCAAACCACCAAGCCCACAGCCAGGACCCTCATGACCTCATGCCTGTATCCATATTCCTGAGAGGGAACCCCATGGCAGTGGGCACACCCCAAAGCCAGAAGTGTGGCAAGGGAACTTATGTTTAGAGTGTGGGTAGAGTTTGCCAGGTGGACTGGAGCATCTGTGTGTTTGCAAGCAAGGACCCAGCAGTGCCCAGAGAAGTTTTGGTGTAAAGAGAAAGGGGGAGGTGTGATGCTCTGAAAAAGCCTCCTCCAGCCCCACCCCCTGGGAGAGCAGAGTGCAAAAAGCAATTTACTGGAAAGACCAGAGCAGGGAAGAGTTCAGCTCCTGAAGGCAGGGCAGCTGGAGTGCCTGATGGGAGGGGAAGAGGTGAGGAAAATGGAGGATAGATCCAAAGGGGGCCAGGGTGGGCTCATGGAGACCCATGAGAGAGCTGCTAGGACAGTCAGTGAGTGGAGACAGCTTGTCCAAGAGATCCATTCATTCATTCATTCTGCAAAAATATCCTAGCTGGTCCCTCCTTAGCCCTCTGGCCTCCTAATGTTTGGCCAGTCCCAGCATCTAGCCCTAGGGCCTCTTTGCTTTGGGTTCTCACAGTTCATGGCTTTAAATACCACCTAAGCATTGATGACTCCCAAATGCCCACCTCCAGCATAGACCTCTCCCCTGAGCTCCAGACTTGCACATCCAAGGCCAACTTTTAACATCTCCACCTGGAGGTCCCATGGACATCTCTGCATAGCACAGTCTCCCCCTTCCAGAGGCTGCCCTCTCTCCACCCTCTCCATCTCAGAAGCTGCAGCTCTGTGATTCTGGTGGCGCAGGAGAGCAGCTCTGGGACCATCTCTGCCTCCTCTCCAATCACTTCCCACGGCAAATGCACCAGAAAATCCTGCAGCACTACCTTTAGATACCCAGACTCCAACCGTCTCTCACAACCTCCACTGGCTCCTCCCAGGTCCACCATAGCTCTGCCTGAATTAGTGACATAGCTCCTTAACTGGGCTCCCTGAGTCCACCTGGCTCTCCTCAATCTCCTTTCCATGCAGCAGCCAAAGCAATCCTTTTCAAACATAAGTCAATTCACATCATGCATCTGCTCAAAATCTTGCAGTGGCTCCCATCTCACTCAGGGCCAAAGCAAGAGGCCCCTCATGGCCTAGAAGCCCCTACCTGAGTTGTACTGGGTATTCTGACATCACATCCTGCTACTTGGCCCTCTGCCGGGCCATGTAGTGACACAGGCCATCTCGCTGCAGGCCTCCACATCTGCTGTCTCTCTTGCCTGAAGTATCTTCCCTCTGCTTGACTCCCTTACTTCCTCCAGGTCTTGACTCAAAAGTCACCTTTTCAGAAGGTCCTTCTCTGAATTTTCTAAAACTGCAAACTCTACCCTCCCCCCTCCTCTGTCCCTGCCTTCTTCTTCTCCAGAGAGCACTCATTACCATGTGCACAGTATATTTTACTACTTTGTTCATTGTCTGACTCCCCACACCAGAATGTAAACTCACTGAGGATCAAAATTGTTTTAAGAACAAAAAAAAAGATAAAAACCCCTGCTTTCATTAGTTATACGCTCTGGCTAGAGAGAACAAATGAATGTGCTAGGCTGATACTAGCCCCAAAGATGTCCAGGTCCTAATCCCTGGAAACTTGTGAATGTTACAGTTTATATTAGTATGCTTGGGCCACCACAGCAAAGTACCACAGACTGAATAGTTCAAACAATGGCAATGTATTTTCTCACAGTTCTGGATAGTAGAAGTCCAAGATCAAGATGTACACAGAGTTGGTGTCTTCTGAAGCCTCTTTCCTTGGCTGGCAAATGGCTATCTTCTCCATGTATCTTCACATGGTCTTCCCTCTGTGCATATCTGTGTCCTAATTTCTTCTTCTTATAATGACATCAGTCATATTGGATTAGGGCCCATTCTAATTACCTCATTTTAACCGAATTGTGTTTTTAAAGACACTATCTCCAAACATGGTCACAGTCTAAGGTACTAGGGGTTAGGATGTCAATATGTGCATTTTGGAGGGATGCAATTCAGCCTGTAACAGTTATCTTACATGGAAAAAGAATCTTTGCAGATGTCATGAAGTTACAGATCATGAGATGGGGAAATTATCTGGTGGACCTTAGATGCCATCACAAGGATCCTTAGAAGAAGATAGACATGTTGTATGCCAACAAAGTGGTAACCTGGAAGAAATGGATAAATTCCTATAAACCACAACATACCATGACTGAATCATGAAGAAATAGAAAATCTGAACAGACCAATAACAAGTAAGGAGATTAAATCAGTAATCAAAATCCTACTGACAAAGAAAATGCCAGGACTAGATGGCTTCATTAGTAAATTATACCAAATATTTAAAGAATTAATATTCCTGAGACTCTTCCAAAAATTGAAGAGGAGAAAACATTTCCAAACTCTTTCTAAGAGGTCAGCATTATTCCAATACCAAAGTCATGCAAAGACAATACAAGAAAAGAAAACTAGAGAAGTGACATAGTCAAGACAGCAGAATACATCCCCAGCCCACATCCCTCTACAGAAACAAATATTTGGTAGCCATCTATGGACTAAAGTACCCGTGTGGGAGCTAAGGGAGCCAAGTGTGAAGTTATGAAACCCCAATGGAGCTCAAGACCCAAGGTGCCCACTTTGAGAAGGTAAGGCACCACACTGGTGGCTGGTCCCACCAGGCTGTTACCAGAATAGTGGAGAAGCATGACTGATGCCAAGACCAATAGCAAGGCTACACAGATCAGGAAAAATCAGGTAAAGATGACACCACCAAAGGAAACTAATAAAGCACCAAAAATCAACTCTAAAGAAATGGAAAACCACTTGACAAAGAATTCCAAATAACTGCCTTAAAGAAGCCCAATGAGCTATAAGATGACACAGGCAGCTAAACAATACTGGGAAAACAATACATGAAGAAAACTAGATGTTTAACAAACTGAAACTATAAAAAAAATTGCTGCAGCTTAAGAATACAATGACTATATTGAAAAAATTCAATAGAGAGCTTCAATGGCAGACTTAATCATATGCAAGAAAGAAACAGTGAACTCAGAGACAAGTCATTTGAAATTATCCAGTTAGAGGAAAAAAAAGAAAAAAGAATTAAAAAGAGTGGGAAAAGCCTATGTGACTTATGAGACATTATAAATGAACCAATATACACATTAGGGGGTCCCACAAGGAGCAGAGAGTGAGAAAGGGGCAGAAAGCTTATTTAAAAAAAAGACAGAAAACACTCCAAATCTAGAGAGGGAAATAAACATACAGATCCATGCTGCCCAAAGGACCCCAAATAGGCTTAACATAAAGATGTCTTCACCAAAACACATTATTTTCAAATTATCATCAAAAACAAAGAAATAACTTCTAAAGAAGTAAAAATGATTTGTCATATATAAAGGAATCCCCATAGGACTATCATCAGATCTCTCAGCAGAAACCGTGCAGGCCAGGAGAAAGTAGAATAACATAGTTTAAGTACTAAAGAAAAAAAACTTTCAAGAACAGTATATCTAGCAAAGCTGTCCTTCAGAAATAAAGGAGAGCTCAAGGTTTCCCCAGACAAACAAACCCTAAGGAAGTTAATCACCACTAGACCTGACCTATAAGAAATGATTAATAAAGGGAGTTCCTCAGGCTGAAATGAAAAGGATACTAATTAGCAATTTGAAAACCTATGAAAGTATAAAACTTACTGGTAAAGGTAAGTATATAGTCAAATTCAGAATACTCTAACACTATAATGGTGGTGTATAAATCACCTTTAACTATAGTATAAAAGTTAAAACAAAAAAGCATTAAAATAACTATAGCTACAATAATTTATTAATGGATATACAATATAAATGGAAATATTAATAACAAGCTGTGGTAATGTAGGAGGATCATGGGGAAGGCAGTATAAGCACATAGAAGACAAGTAGTGATTCTATAGCATCTTACTACACTGAAGGACAGTGACTGCAATGGGGTGTGTGGGGTAGGCTTGATAATATGGGTGAATGTAATAACCACAATGTTGCTCTTGT